AGACACTTAAGCCATTGCATCAATATCAGCGTCATTTGATTTTGAAGGAGACAAATGAATGCAATGGAAACAAGCACAAAGAAAATGTGTTTGCTATAGTAACTGCAGCTTCCTTAAACCCAGTGTAAGGAATTGAATCGTTTTCTGGTTCTAAAAAATCTTACTGATACAATAATACAATCTCAGAAAAGGTACAAGGTTATAGCTGCCTTTCCCCCCTTTCTTAATTGAAAGGATGCTTCGAGTACCAAGATACACTGTAGGGAATAAAAAGGTTTGAACTGATCGACATTGCTTTATAAGTTTTTGATTCTCTTGTCTGTGTCTTGCTAACTACGGTTTAGAAGAAAGTATGGTAAACAGATTTTAATTATTTAGCTGTGGGGTCTCTGACAAGGTAAACAAAATACTGGAGAATACGAACAAATGCGAAACCCGTACTGTTTGCGTCTGAGTACTTATGTTCATACAAACACGCACAAAAGGCGATACTGGGCCGTGAAGCTGAACTGTATATTATCTCCTCTCCAAAACCCTGAGGCTATCATTGCGAAGCACAGTGGTCCGTTCTAAGCCCTGAACAGAGAAAAGGAAGAGATCATTAAATTATAATTTCCCTGCACAATTGGTATGAGCATTTCCTACCAACAGGATTAATATGAACGCAAGATCCCAGAATAAAGCTGCTCAGCAGAGAGGATGGCAGTTTAGCGTCTAGTAAATTTGATTTCTCTGAAAATCCTGACACATCATAATAGTGAAATCCTATTTACTGTAGCAAGCAGGATGGATAATACTATTTAATACCTGGTATAGTGCATGCCATCAGCTCACAGCTTTGTGCTCTGTGTGCTCATCTTACCTTAAGGTTAATGCTCCTTGACAGCCTACGTGGTAAGTAGAATCCCCAAATTAAGTGCCGAACCTGTGATTTGCAAAATCCTTCCTCAAAATTGAAGCCATGAAAAAAATAAAATGGATTCAGATAAGAGGATCATTTTTCCAGAACTTATGTCTATATTCTCAGGCACTGATCTGGCAATAAGCTTTGCGTAGGAAGACTCCTGTGCCCATATAAACTCCATTAAAGTCAGAGGGTCTGTGCAGAGACTGTGGCAGGATCAAGGCCCAAGCTGGAACTCCATCTACCTCTAAGTTTGTAGCAGCCTTTAAGCACAACGTTGGGCTCTCTGGGTGCAACCGTAAGACAAATACAAATTATTATTCACATCTAGCTCTTATAAAAAGATATATGTACACATACACCTCACCTACACTATTCAGTGAAGACATTTCTAGGACACAGAAACACAGAACACTCATTGCTTTTATTGAGAAATATCCTGACTAATGCTGAGATACAGTTTGCACTCATTCACAAAGCATGATAGATTGTAGTTTTGTCATATGTTAGTCTATTAAAAATTAATTTCTTCCTGCTCCCACGACTAGGGGCATGATTCTCACAATAAAAAACGCAAAGATGCTATGAAGGTAGCAAAGATGCACAAGAAAAATAGTTGGGACTTGTTAAACATGACGTTAAAATTAAGAAAAAGTTGTTTCACAATATATAGATTATACACAGTACTATATATATACACAGTATAGTACACACATGCACATATATATATATATATATATATATATATAATAGTACATAGTATAGTCTAGAATATTAAAAACGTACCTATATATTTAATAAAACAGCATAGATCTGCAAGACAACAAGGGTGAAAAGAGATAGCTGACAGCATTTCTCATGGATTTAAAAATATTCTAAAGTAACAGCAACTGGGTCAAGGAATGGTGGGAGTGCAAGCTGCTGAAAAGACAAATGAATGCAATTATTAATGTTTATATAGCACCTACATAACATGGTGACAAGCCTATTGGAAATGCAAAGGCAGTAAGATGAGGCCCATAGCCAGAGGGGTTTACAATCTAAAGTTAGACCAATGACAAAATGACAGGATGACTGACATGAAGGGGCTGAGCAGGACAATGACAAATACAAGAAGGGGACATAGTCGTCAGTGTGTGTTATAAACGGAGGCCAAGAGAGTTTGACAGCTTCATGGATTGCAAGAAGTAAAACCCGACTGAAATTCTGTGCTCTCAGTAGCTTTCGTCAATTCTTACTCTCTCCAATATGTCACCATAGCATTTAGCTTACCTGTAATGGCAGGATAGCCTGAATTTTCATAAAGTATCCCTAGCTCTAGAATGCAGGATCGTTGTATCCCGCGATACTGTTCAATGGAACTTTATTTCTGCAATCTCATTTTCCATTCATATGCAGTTTCTCTCAAGTACCAGCAGCCCATAAGCAGACAGTGAGAAACAACTGCATTATAGCTTCTGTTCCAGGTGTTACAGTTAAAAAAGTTATCACTGGATGCTCTCGCTATCGGCATTGAAAAAAAAAAAAAAAAAAGAAAAGAAAAAGCAAATGCCCCCCAAAGCTGCCTCTCCATCCTGCAGCTACATATCTACTAAAATCTTTCAGGTCTATTCTCATCATAACACGCGTGAGAAATGTGCACTCATATATCTCCTGAATACCAGGAGCAGAATATGCCCTTTTAGCACTGATGAATGGATTTCTCTCTCAAAGTCTAATGTGGGAACTCTTAAACAACAAGTTTACAGCCTAACCAGAAATACTGTATGCAAAGGTTATTTTTTAACTCCTTTGTTAAACTATTCCATCCTGCTTAGCTGCAAGAGTATGCAGTAACTCACAGCTGATGTGCTATTTTTGACCTAGAAACACTGGCAGCTGTTAGGGGAATCACTGTTTTTTGGAAAGTATCAAAGGATTTTTAGCACATAAACCAAATTTATGAACAGCTATTGCCCCTGAGAATAGAATTGTTTATGTTTTAGTATCGCAGCTGTCACTGGTGCACAGTTACTTTGTCCTGTATTAATCCCCTGAAAAGGTTGACACATCTTTACTCCAGTCACTGAAATATTTTATAAGTGACAGACTTCATCTGGCAGTGAATATGTATAATAATTTCTCTCTGTAAGGAGCACGCTGTGCTGACACTAATCTGTTTCTGTTGTCGTCTCCCTTTGTTATCAATGTCTGTATTGTTTTTTCAGCAGCACAAAGGAACACAAATATGAAGCTTCTAATTGAAAAAAGCTAAGTAATCAAAAAGCCAATTAATCATACAGATGAGCTCTGACACTTAGTGATACAACAGACAGATGCCGCTTACTAGTAAGTGAAGTATCTTTAAAATGTGTGTATTTGATGTAAGAATGATCTTAGCATTTAATCAGCATTCTTCACCGCAGAGGATAACGATGCCACGTTCCTTCAGACTGACATTACTTTGCCACTCTCCTGCTCAAGTCAACATAAGCTCAGAAACAAATAAGCTACCGACTACAGTGCTCTACTAGTATTATTCCTCCCACCCCCATTAAGCCCTGCCTCCATAAGTCCTCCATGCTCTAAAATGCTGAACCTTCATTACCATCTCTCTTTCCTGTGGAAAAGGCCTCTTTCTATTTCTTGTTATTCAAAATTGCATGTCTACCACTGAGCTCAAAAAACCCCCAAAACAATATTGTTATTTATTACAAATGATCCAAGATGAAACTATTTTGGGAGTGTCATAGTGCCACGATCAGTGATGAAATTTCAAATGCAACTGCCCCAGCCAGCCCAGGGCTTGGAAAGTGAGAGGACCAAAGAGATCTCACTCGGGGATAGTGAGCAAGGCATCTTCCCTGCTTTATGCCGGAGTATAAACAGTAGGGAGCAGCCATATTCCAAACCTGGCTTCTTTCCACTGAGGCGGTCTCTGAAATATGAAACTGAGATGGCAAAACTACCTCCTGGGTATAGCTACTGGAAAACTTGGATGAAGTTCTGATTCCGGGACAAGCGACTCCTGCCATCCTCTAACTATACCACAACTCTAATACCACAAACCCCAGAACTCTGCAGAAATTCAGGACCAGATTTTGGAAACAAGACTCATCGCATTTTCAGGACTTACAGAACATCCACTTCATTGTAAACTACAGACCTCAGAGTGGTAAAACAGATATGACCATCTTGGCAAAGTGGTCCTTAGTCAATCCAGAATATAGAAACAAAGAAGTCAGACTGAAACCGTGGCTGTCAACTGACCACGGTCCAACTTCTGCAATCTGGAAGCCACAGCAATTAAGGCTACTACTGCTCCCCCACTACCAAATTTCCTGAACCCTGAGGCTCTGTATTTCCCACATATAATGTGCACCCAATTTTCCCCAACTAATTTAGGGGAGAGGAGGATGTGCACATTTATGTGAGAAAATATGATATCCATAAAATGTTTTCTTGGTTACAAACAATGCATCTCTAACATTTCAAATTGGGCTTGAGTGATCTGAACCACTACAGTACATCTCAGTTTGGTCTAAAACTCAGTTTGAGCAAAAATTTACTAACGCTTTCTAACTCTGTGACAGATAACTCTGAACGTGAAACTTATTCTTTCCCTGAGCATCTTGATGGTAGGTGTGTGAGAGTCGCAAACTCTGCCCCAAAGGTGTCTGGGGCCGTGATGGGAGACAGAAATTAAACATGGTAGTTGTCCTTTTATTTGTTATCTAGATATTGTCAAGTAATGTCAAATTAAATAAAACCTGTTCGGTTGCAGTGGCTCATACATGCCCTTCCTTGCTGGAAAAGTAACCTTTTGTGAAGAGAAACAGCATGTGCATAAATATTGCTAAACTGACATTTCATCAGTCACAACAATATTAGTCATTCAGGACTCAAAAAGAGATTCTCAAAGTCAAGTCTTATCTTTCCAGTCTCGGTCTTCACTTCCTCTTCCCAAACAGGAAGAGAAATGAAAACAAACTATTCTCAGGCTTTAACTTTATCAAGCTTATGAAATCCTCTTTTGATATTTAAGCTTAACCAAAAACCATGAAGTCAGTAGCAGAAATTAACAGCAAAACTCATTAAACAAGAAAAATATTCTCACTCTCTCTTCCAGTCGAGCCAGCTGCTCTTTGTAGTAGGCATCATGCTTCTTCAGTTCTCTGTCTTTCTCTTCCAGCTGCTTGGCCTAAAAAAAGAAATGTAAAGATAAAACTGGATCAAGAAATGCAGCACTTGCAAAGCAAAAAGTCTACTATAAATTGTACAAGTAGTATAGTATACAGAGATTGAAGACAGCAGCCTATTAGTTTTTTGCCAAAACAGTATAGTAATAAGAAGATGATTGCTGCATTGAAAGCGCAAAATGCTCATCTATTGTACTTTTTTTTGCTCAACAGCTGTGCCATAGTCTGTCCAAATGTATCTGGAAATGTCACAAGCATCGAACCCAAGTATACCATGCTGAAATTAAGCCTTCATTGAAAGATTAACTTCAGGATCACTACTGCATTTAAGACAACTTCCTATTCATTCTAAATGAAAATCATGCTTAGCCAGAACTGCTGTTCACTAAAACACCAGGAATAAAACAGGTTGACACACAAGGCCGATACCTGTGTGTGATTCCAAAAATTTCTTTGAGCAAATAGTTGTGCATATAAATCCAATTAAAAAAAGCATGTATACATGTGCTTAACTTTAAGCACCCGAATTACTGCGTTGACTTTAATGAAAGCACCGAGGTGGGTGGATGCCTTGGTGGACTGGACCTTAAGGCACAGTACACTACTTCTTCTATTGTCCTTTTAACTACTAGTTAACTCAGGAAACTACCAGCATTACTACAGTGATAATTAAATAATTTGGAAAGCTTTCACTGTGGTAGGTAATGTTAGCTGTGTGAGCCATTTCCCTTTTTCCCCACCACTGGACTTCTGCCCTTCTAACAAGATGTCAGTGCTTTTGAAAGTGATTAGACCTTTAGCATGGGCAAGTAAAGATGTCTTTTAGTGCTTTTTGCTTTTAGTATTGCATGTAGCATTAATGGAAATCACCAAGGACAGCTGAAAATAAATTACACATGTGGACTGCACATAAATATCATGTATGAGATATAAGAAGTCCTTCAGAGGGGAATGTTTGTCAAGGGATCGGTAATATGATGCAGAGCACTTCACCTCTAAGATACTAGTGCAAATTCATCCCAGGCTGATGATAATCAAAGAGCCATTACCCACTGATGGCTGCTCAGTGGCCTCCTTAAAATGAGTTATTGATCTCTACCAACTCCCTTTCGGCAAAGTCCTAGCATCACACCACCCACCACAAAGAGCACCCTTGTTAGCAGTATCAGCTGGGAGGACAAAGAGATGTGAAAGTCATCCCTGGAGGTGTACTGTCCAAGTCACATTGCTGGATCAGCCTTAGGGAACTTAGAAAAGCCACTCCCCTCTAGAGTACTTATTTTGTAGATCTAAATCTTAAATTCTCCTTGTCAAGACCTGGTAGCTTTTTGGGGGTTCAGCGGATGCATCCACATGAGACGCTACATCACCATTGCAGCGAGTTACCGTGCCGTAGCTCATTGCTACGGTGATGTAGCATCGCTGGGCATGAACCACAAGGCCGACGCTACTGTGTACTTGGAAGTAATAAATCAGTGCGCAGCCCGCTGCATGTGTAGACGCAGCCAGCATGTATCAGATTTTAATGCAAATCGTCTTTCAACACAAAAATGTGCACATTGCTTCCCTTGTTTCGTAAAGACTGCCATTTACAGGGTCGGACCGTAGGTCTATCTTGTCCAGTATCCTACGTCACAGTGGCAGAAAGCGGATGAAAGGGAGAGGGAACAGGATCTGAGTGGGGTTTTTCCCCCTGTTCCTCTCCCACGTGCCACCGCCGACATTTAATGTTCAGAAAGTTCCCATTCAGAGGCCGTGCCCCTCACGCCTGAGCTCAATAGTTACTAATGCCCCTTTCCTCCAAGAATTTGTCCAATCCCTTTTTTAATCTGGTTACAGTCGGCTTCTACAACATCTTGTGGCAATGAGTTGCACGCTTTAATTACACACCGTGTGAAAAAGAGCTTCCTTTTGTCCGTTTTAAACTTACTACCTTCCTAGTTTCATTTTATAACCCTCGTTTTGGTCTTGTGACACACCACAAATGATAAATCCTTATTTACTTTCACTTCACCATTTAGTATTTGAGGACACTTCTGTCTCCCCTCTAGCATCTCTTTTCTAAGCTGAATAAGCCTAGCTCCTTTAGTTTCTCCTCATATAGAAGTCCCTCCATACAGCTAATCATCCTTGGTGCCCTTCTCTAGTTCTTCTCTATCCTTTTTGAGATGTAAGGACCAAAATTGGGCACAATATTCAAGATTCAATATTCATTATGGATTTATAAAGGAACATAATGATATTTGCTGCTTTTACTATTCCATTCTTAATAATTAGCAACTTTTTTTGCTCCTTACTTCAGTACGTACCTTTTTTTCTATCTCCTGAAGCATGTAAAGTTAAAAACAAGTCAATTAATAAATGTATTATAGGAAGGGAAGATATAAAGCATATAAAATAGTATTTGGGCATATCTGAAACCTAGAACATACTGAAACAATGGGGAAATGTTTATGCAGCTTAATCAAAGTCTCCTCACGCAGGCTGAGAAGGTTTTCTCCCTTCTCTACTCTGACCACAATCATCCTAATAAAAGGTAAGTTATTCGAATTATAGCTGAACTGGTAAATTTTGAACAGCTGCTTGTGTAGTAATCTAAGAATCACTTCAATTGGCAATGCATGTCATTACACTTAAGGTAAAAATGAATCTGGTGTACCACAAAAAACTACTATGTGCACTTAGTTTAAACTATACTTCCTACTCATAGATGTAATAGAGTCCCAACATGCTGCCAGAGTCATCCAAAATGAAATATGTGCCATTTTTTGTCAGATACCTATCAATAATCACCCATATACATTTACATTTCAATAATCTAATCTGTGGGAGGAACACTGAACAAGAACCTTTCAGTAAGGGAGCAATTAAGTAATTATAGTATCAGTACAACAGACACTAAAACCTTTGAATTTTACCAGTTTAATACAAAAATCCTTTCACCTTTCAGATGCTTAATGCATCTTAGTTCCCCCTGTGCATCTTTATTCTGTGTGTTAAAATACCCACAAAGATCCATGAAATATGTGCAAACTACTTTGTTCAAGTACAGTCAAATAGCTGAGTAACAAAGAAAATGTAGCAGATATTCCATTATGACTATTCCGAAGGCTCACAGTAATTTCATAAGTTTTAGTTGTCAGCAACCAATACTACATCACTTCTTCCTGTTGATGACACAAAGCCAGGCAATGAAACTGACTTTGAAAAGTCAATAGAGTGTAAAAAATGTGCCAAAGTGTCATAATATAATTCACCTTCCACATTTCCAAAGATTCACAACTCAAGGAACTTTGAGACAGAGTAGGACACAAGAGGTCAACTCTGCATAAAAATGACTGGGGAGACTACCAGGTACCTAACTGCAAACTCATTCTCCTCTCCTAGTTCAACAGATCAATTAAAAATCAATTCCCTCTACCCCACTGAAAGAAAACAATAGTAGCACATTAACTGACAGGTTGCTCTAGAAAGAAAACACAATTGATAGAACAAGGGATGTTGCCAACTTATACACCATGGATGTTACCAGCTTATATACCAACATCCCACACCAGGACAGCATCCAAGCCTGCCTTACATATCTACAAGAGCAAGATGACAACTCAGAGTACAGATCTCAAGACATTACTGAATTTATACACTTCATCCTCACACACAGCAACTTCACCTTCAATAACCAGCACTTCCTCCAAACCACGGGCACAGCTCTGGGCACCAAAATGGCTCCACAATATGCCAACCTTTATATGGGCCACCTGGAAGAAGAATTCCTCAAGAACCGCACCATAAAACCCACATTATTAATATATATAAATGACATCTTCATCATTTGGACTGAAAAACCTGCAATCTCTGATGGATTTCCATCACAAATTCAATAATCATCACCCTTCCACCAGACTCTCTCTTGAATACTCCAGCACCAACATTTCCTTTTTACGCACGACGATCACTATCCAGAATGGTAAAATACAAACCACATATACAAGAAACCAACGGAGCAATGTACTTATCTGCACAGAACCAACAATCACCCTAAACACACCAAGAAAGCTGTAATATACAGCCAAGTCCTCTGATACCACCAACTCTGCACTGCGAACACCCGTGATCGTCACCTTGCAAATCTCAAAAAGGCTTTCACCCAACAAGGACACCTCTACAGAGACATAGATTGAACTTTTGAAAGACCCACCCAGATACTAAGTGAAGAATTGCTGCAGTACAAAAAGAAAATCCCCACTGTCCCAGCCGCCAGCGGAGAGTTCAGGATTGAGAGTATGGTCAGGGGGTAGAAAGGTAAGAAAGGTTTATTGACTTAACAAAAACACAACTACACGCAGTAACAAGACAAACAACGACAGACAAGAATAATTCGCGTCAGCAACTTACTGGCAGTCCCCTCTGATGCCTGATGTACAACAAGTTTCTCTTTCCACAAAGCTCAGCAAAGTCAGGCATCCCCGATCAGCGCTGTCCAAGAGGTAATGGGAAAGACCCTGGTATTCAGTCCTTGGGCTCCTCGAGATCTACGGGCCCACTGATCCAGGTCAACAGCTAATTAATCCTTTTCACAGAGCTGTATCTTCCTTCTGAATGCTTTCCCAATGTTTCAGCCAATTTATAACTTCTGAACTGTGCTGATAACTTACAGCCACTCAGATTCTTTTTACTTCAACTGTCCTTAGACTGACCAATAACAGTACAAGCCTTGCATTCTTTTGATAAGGTTAATTTTAACTATGTCATAGGGCCTTACTACTTCAAGTCTTTGCTCAATTTACTAGGCCTTACTTTATACAAGGCCTTACTACATTTTAAACTTTAATTAGACTCTTAGCAACAACATATAGCTTAATATCTAAACAAATGACAGAAAAACACTTGGTCTAATCTTCATAGAGCCTTCAGCAAGCACCTTTATCACACAGACATAATTTTCAACTGTCACGTCCCACAAATCGTACACCATTAATTATGACATTCCACCCTTCCCTGG